CTCTGAGTCTTGAGAATTCTGTATTCCATATTCTAGGTACTCTTTCCTTGCCTTTGATGTGGTGGGGATGGCCCAGCACCTCACTGTTGCTGAGGAGGGACTGGGTTCGAGTCACTGCTCTGTGATAGAGTGGGGGCCGGGATGTCCTGGTGCTTCCTCTTGGTTTCCTTCTTTCTAACTGATCAGGAGGAGGAATTTGCTCTCTGGGCCTATGGGCATCTCTGGAGCACAGTGTGGGGAATAATAGAAACTAGAGGCAGGGAGATCTCTGTGAACTCAAGACCAGCCTACAACAGCCAGGACTACACAGAGAGACCCTGTTAAAAAAAATAAAGGAAAAAGAAAAACAAGCAAGCAAACAACAAAAACCAAACTTCACAGAAGATGGGAAGTCATAACATGGCTGTACCAAAAATTCTGGTGTCTGAAGTCATCCTTATTTCTTGTTTCTATATTTAATCAAGTTCTGTTCATTTCCAGGAATACTCCTTATATTTAGGTATAAGAATCCCAGAGAAATGAGTTCACACCCTCTATGAGTACTGATTTTTATTATCTGTTTGGTGGGACTGAGAAGCATTTAAACTGTGAAACACAACTCTGTGTGTTTCTGGGAGAGTCTTTCCAGGAAGGCTGAAGGTGAGAAGATCCATCCTAATGATATGGGAAGCCCCATCCCATAGGCTGAGTACCCCTCAACCAGATCCACTCTAATGATATGGGAAGCCCCATCCCATAGGCTGAGTGCCCCTCAACCAGATCCACCCTAATGATGTGGGAAGCCCCATCCCATAGGCTGAGTGCCCCTCAGCCAGATCCACCCTAATGATGTGGGAAGCCCCATCCCACAGGCTGAGTGCCCCTCCATGAGACACAAAGGGAGTAGGGAGAGCCCATAGTGCAGCATGGGTAGCTTCCTGGCTGCCTTGGCCTCTTGTGCCCTACTCTGCCCCCTCCTCTGCCATAATGTACTGAAACCATTGGGATGAAACCGATGAACTGGGAACCATTGCCCAACATCATTTTGCCTTCCATTTAAGTTGATTTCTCTAGGCTATATTTCCAAGGGATGGGAAAATTGATCAACACCTCATCTTTTTCCATAGGCTTAGGATTTAAGAAGCCCTTTGATATCAAAGAAATGAGGTTAAAATTTTTCCTAGAGATATTTTTTATGGTATAGCCTTTGGCCTTTTCATTTTATTTTAAAGAGAGTGTGCGTGGTGTGTGTGTGTGTGTGTGTGTGTGTGTGTGTGTGTGTGTGTGTGTGTGTGTGTATGTGTTTTCTTGTATGTGTGCATATGTACATGCATGTAGAAGCTAGTTATCCATGTTGAATGTTTTCTATTGCTCCTGACCTGACTTTTAAAGACTGTGTCTCTCTCTGAATCTGTAGCTTACTAGTTGAGCAAGACCAGCTCAGCTAGTTTCAGGTTTCCTCCTGTCTCCACTTCCTCAGTTCTAAGATTATAGGCACACCCCACATGCTCTGATTTTTCCATGGGTGCAGTATATATCAACTTGGGTCCCCCTTCTTGCTCAGCAAGCACTTTACCAACTAAGCTGCCCCCACAATGCTTCACTGTTGTGTTTAAGTGCCATCTACCTTATGGGAGCTTTAAGATTACAAGTTTAAGTGACTTCCCTCAAAGGCAGAGCTTGAAAGTGATTTAACCACTCAGAGGCAGCGGAGTGGCATGAACCCTCTTACTTTGCCTGTGTTATAAACTGAGAGCTTAGTCCCCTCATAGCTCTCTCTTAAAGGTACCTCTTTTGTGAGGTGGCCTGTTTTCAGTAATTGAACGTCAAGGACTGGAAAGTCCTCTGCTTTCTCAGCCAGATCAAGACACTCCATACTATGAGAGGAATATTGTTGGCCTCCCACTAAATTCCTATGTGAACGTTCTAACCCCTTAAGGGATGTGGGTATATGGAAGTTATGATGCCTAATCTTTGTTGTCAACTTGATTCAACTGTAGGTCAGTGAGAGACATGACAGAGTGGGCAGTTCCATCTGATGGTGGCTGATCTTAGCCCAGACAGATAGAAAATGGTCTGAGGAAAGAACATTTGCTTTGCTCCTGCCTGTCTGCTTTTGTTCCTTGGTGTGTATACATACTCTGTTGTTGTTGCTGCTGCTGCTGCTGCTGCTGTCACTTACTTGGAACCCAGCTTCTTCTTGTTTCTTATGTGAACCAAAGGCTAGTGGCTCCAGGAAGCATCCAGGCCTTCACCATCCTGGACTTCTAAGACATCTAGACTTATGGACTACAGCAGCTACTGATGGGCAGCTTCCCCAGCCTAAATGGGATAACCCTTTGTAATGCATAGTGTTTTATCAGCTGTTCGTCGAGAGTACCCCGACTTCTACAGGAGGTGATTAGGTAGTCTCAGTCCAATTTCATGAATGAAATTGTTACTCTTGTGAAAGAATTACCATTGGGCTAGCTGGTACTTTACACTATATGAAGACAGAAGTAAGATGTGATCTATGAAGCCTTTTCACATCTGTGAATCTACTGGGGACTTGATTTGAGGCCTCTCAGCCTCTAAGACTGTATGAAATAAATTTTGCTTTTTTATAAGCTGCTCAGTTTCTGGTATTTCGTTAGCATCTCTGGAGGGAGCCACCTCCTCCTTGTTCTTCCCTACAGAGCTGCCACTGGGAACCCAACTCTACGCCCTCCTCCTGGCTGCTCCCCTTCCTGCCACAGGTGCGGCTCTCATGGGCATCCTGGAAAAATCTTCAGGTTCATTGTGTCAAATCTGTATTCCATGAGTCCACCCTGTCTGAATAGTCTTCTGGTGGTTGCTTGCTGTCTTCCTAAAATGGCAGGCCTTCTGTGAAGAGACTGCAGTTAGTCTCTTCTCTGGGTCACAGTGTCTTTTGTTTTTAACCGCCATTCTAGATGATAACCAGTTTGACTTTACAGTCTTCTTTCTGAAGAACGACAAGTTAGAATGTTGTGCATATTCCCTGTTCTTGAAGTCCATAGCCAGGGAGCCTTGGCTAGGATTCCTTTCTCTCTCTCAAGACTGTTTTGATGAAGCACTGTCCCCAGACACAGGGGTTTCTGGATTATTGTTTCAGAAAATGTATCTCCTGCTGCTGCTGTTAATAGTTAGTCCCCGCAAGCCACAAACATGCTTCCTATGACTGTATTCTCCATGTGGCATATCATTTGACTTTCTGCCTTAATCTGGAGCTTGGGAGAAGAGACATGATGGTCCTGGCATTATCCCTAAGCTTCTTTCCTTGGCCCCCGGCTGAGTGCAGTGTACACACACAGGGCTTCCACATTATTTAGTCTGCACCTCCCACGATGAGCTGCTCTCTCCTGATTTATTTCCCACAGTGCCCCTAGATTAGCAGTGTGGAGGGCTCCCATGCGCCTGAAGTGACTCGTACTTGTTCATTTAAGCTTTTCTCTATCTGGATTATGGCACACCTTAGAAGAAACCTAGGTGAAGCCAACCAAATCTTTTACAAAAGTTGATACAGAGGTCTCATATATTTGGCTTTATTGTCTTTCAATAGACACCTAATAAAAGTATAAGTGTGTTAACAAACCTTACTCGCCTATGGAGAGCCTCTTACACATTTTACTACCATATATTAATTGATAAGAGAATGAGTCTTAATGGTACCATTGTCTTTGTGTGTGTGTGTGTGTGTGTGTGTGTGTGTGTGTGTGTGCATGTGTGTGTGTGTGTGTGTGTGTGTGTGTGTGTGTGTGTGTGTGTGTGATTATAGGGCATGTGCTTGTATTTGTGCATTTCAGTGTGGAGGTCAGAGGTCAATGTTGGTGTCTTCCTTGATAATTTTACACCTTATTTTTTGAGACAGAGCCCCTCACTGAACTTGGATGGGGCCAGAAATTTGGCTAGATTTGCTGGCAAGCCCCAGATATCCCCGTCTCAGCTTCTGAAGTACTATGATTCCCAGTGCTTGTCTCTATGACTGGCTTTTTACAGGGGTGCTGGGAATCCAAGCTCAGGTCTTCATGCCTGCATTGCAACTATTCTACCTGCTAAACCATCTCCCCAGGCCCTTATCATAGAGCTTCCATACATTACCGTGACATGTTTTCATCGTAACCAGCCCCTTACATTCTCTCCCCTTCTAGTCCTTTTCTCTTCCCTAAAAGTCACAGTCTCCCCTCTGCTTTCAGGTGCGTTTGTTTGTTGTTGTTTTGTTTTGGAAGGCTCCACATTTGGAAGAAAACATGTGTTTTCTTTCTTGAGTTATTTAAGCATCTCTACTGTGCATCGAGCTTGAGAGCATTAAGTATACACCCAGCAGTTCTATGGTATGTGTGGAATATATAGCTGGTTATATGGTAGTCCTATTTTCAGGTTTTGTTTTTAAGACCTCTACACTGATTTCTTACTGGCTGCAATAGTTGCTAGTCCCACCTACCAACAGACCAACAGCAAGCTTCCTGCCTGCTCCCCTCAGCTCTTTGCCATGTTGATTCTAGCCACCCTGGCAGGGATGACACAGAATCTCAGTGTAGTCTTCATTTGCATTTACCTGCGGCCTTAAGGTGTTGAGCATTTTTTTTTCATAGTGTCAACTGACTTTTTTTTTAAAGTGTCAATTTAGCTCATTTGTCCATTTATTACCTGGATGATTTTTCTTTTATTTTTTAATTCTTTGAGTTCTGGATATATATTCTGGATATTAATCCACTGTCTGGTTAATAGATGGAAAAATTTCCTCCTATAATGTAGGTCATCTCTTCACTCTGGGAATTGTTTTGTTTGATGCGATGTGATTCCATGTGTTCCTTTTGCTCTCGTTTCGCTAACCTAGGAGCCCTGTTTAGAAAGCCATGGGCTGGCTAGGGTAGAGAGAGGCCGACCGAGCTGGAGTCGTCGGCTTGTGGAGGAAGCAGCTGGGAGCTGGCGAGAGCGTGAGCGGGCGGGCAGGCGAACGAGCGAGCGCAGGCGCGGGGGAGCGGCGCACGGCGCGGAGCAGCGCCTGCCCGGGCCGCGGCGGAGCCTCAGCCGGAGGGCAGCCCGAGCGGGCGCCTCGGTCCCCGCCCCCACTCGGCGGGGCAGTGCCCGGTGTTCCCCCGTGCGGGGGGCGGCGGCGGCGGCGGCTGAGCGGACCCCACGGGACCGCGCGGGTGTTGCCACCTCGGCCGAGGAGCCGGCGCGGCCGCGGGGCCCTGCGAGCTGGGCCCGGGGCCCGTGACAGACGGGCCGAGGAGGGGAGAGAGGCGGCGGCGGCGGCGGCGGCGACGGGGAGGCAGAGGCGGCGGCGACACCATGTCATCCCCCAGTCCCGGCAAGAGGCGGATGGACACGGACGTAGTCAAGCTCATTGAAAGCAAACATGAGGTTACAATCCTGGGAGGACTCAACGAATTTGTTGTCAAGTTTTATGGACCACAAGGAACACCATATGAAGGCGGAGTGTGGAAAGTTAGAGTGGATCTTCCTGATAAATACCCTTTCAAATCTCCATCTATAGGATTCATGAATAAAATTTTCCACCCCAACATTGATGAAGCGTCAGGAACTGTGTTTCTAGATGTAATTAATCAAACTTGGACAGCTCTCTATGATCTTACCAATATATTTGAGTCCTTCTGCCCCAGTTGTTGGCCTATCCTAACCCCATAGATCCTCTCAATGGTGATGCTGCAGCCATGTACCTCCACCGACCAGAAGAATACAAGCAGAAAATTAAAGAGTACATCCAGAAGTATGCAACGGAGGAGGCCCTGAAGGAGCAGGAAGAGGGCACTGGAGACAGCTCTTCGGAGAGTTCTATGTCTGACTTTTCGGAAGATGAGGCCCAGGACATGGAGTTGTAGTAGAAAAGCATCTGCTTTTCAGAAAGACTATTATTTCCTAACCATGAGAAGCAGACTATAGTATTCATATTTAAACAAAGCAATTTTTTTATTACTAAACAAGGTTTTTATGAATAATAGCATATATATCACCCTTCTTTGTGTGGAAACCTGAGCAGTAGGAGTAGCCAATCCTAAGACCTTCTGAAGACATTTGAATGTCCCACTGGACTAACTTTTCTTTCCATGTGTTTCTAGTGTAGAAGTGCTGTATTCCACAGGGTTTAAGTCGGTGAGGTTGAGAGACACCTCTCTTTTTTAATTCAGAAAGCACAATCAGTTTTTCCTTTGAAAATCTATATAAAGTACAACTTTTAGCATGATTATTTTCCTAAATAAAAAGACAAATAAATTACTTATTTTATGTTAATTACGGGCATGAAGCAAAAGGTTATCTTTGGGGAAACTGCAGTTCTGTGGGGGGGCTGTGGTCAGTTCACTGCGCTGCCCCCTTGGGCACCCTGCCTGTTGGAAGGTGGCTTCAGCAGTTGTGAATCGCTGTGTCGTGTAATGCGGCCGTGCTTACCTGGCATGCTGTCTTCTGTCGGGGGGAAGGAGGGTCTGCTGGTGCCTCCACATTGCTTCCCCTGAGGACTAGCAGTTTGCTCATGCTCTGACCTTTTCTGTAGGTGCTACTTAGGGTAGGCTTGAAGTGCTGGGTGGTGATTGAGTTCAAACAATAAAAAATTGTATTTTTTCAATACTGTATAAAAATAGTATTCTAATTACCTTTCAAAAAAAAAAGATCCTGATAATTGTGTTCAATCTTGTTGAAAGAAATACAAAACAAAACAAAAATCCAACAAAGCATCACAGAGTCAAGTTTAGAGAATGGGTGTAAGCAGCTGCTGCTCCGACCCTCCCCAGAATCCACCTTGCTGCATTGAAGACACATCACTCCCTCCCATGCAGAGCAACAGCAGTACACAGCTGACCGTGCAGAATGCCCATGTGGAGCCTAGGGCTTGAGGCCGCAGGGCAGAAGGTCCATCCGGGTGAATGGTGAATCACTGCGGTACTGACAGGTCATGACTGCCCCCCAAATCACTCTACCCTCAACTTCCTGGAGCCAGGTCTGGTTCTGTGCACGTTGCTGCTCTCTGGGCCTTGACTCTGCTAGGAAGTTGACTTCGCAATCTTTCTGGCCCTTCCTTACTCCTTGGTGAGGTAGGACTAGATGACCATACCGTATCCATAGGTGCAAAGGACCAGAAATAAAGCCTGGCTGTGACTCTGAGGGCTCCAGGTCTCCATAGTAAATAGGTGAGCTCTGCTGTTTGGGCACCGAAACCCTCTCTAGTTGGCTGTGGGCGTCCCTCCTGACTCCCAAGGGGGTGCTGAGCTCCTTTGGAGGCTGAGGACTCCTTGCCTTGGAGGGGGAACAGTAGGTCCGGGCTGTTGCTGGCATTTGCCCACCCCTTGTACTAACCATTTTGAGGGCCTACCGTGTGGTTTACCAGTGCAAGCCATTCAGATGACTGGAGTTCTTGCCAAACACCGACAAGCAAAGTGGCTGCTGCCTGGCAGCCCACACCTGCCGCGTCCCTCTGCCCCCGAAGCCCAGCACTGGGCCAGTGGGCTGTGTTCTGTGGTTGCCAACATAGACCCTGGCACTTGACATTTCTTGTCAGCAGTCTCCACCTTCCTCGAGAGTACTGTGCAGCTTCAACCAGCATTTCCTACCAACGAGAGAGTTCTCAGAAGTTGCCACATCTCTCCAGCACTAATGTTTCTGTCCACTTCAAGCGCTGTTCTAATTGCCAACGGCTGATCTAGGCTCCTGAGGAGTGCGTCTTCTCAGAGGAAATCTGTCCTGGAAAGGGCTCCCCGAAGTTCTAGTTGGCCTTGACCTGATACTTGCATTTTCTAGGCCACCTTTTGGGGTGGCTAAGAATCATGACAGATCCTCTGCCAGTCTAGTCTCTCTAGGTCAGGTTTCTGAAAACTGGTATTGGATTTTAATGATATGTGGCCCCTCTGTTTTAGTGAGTCAGGAAAGTGAAGCAATTTACAAGTTAGCAAAGGGTTTTACTTTGTTTTCTTCACTTCTGATTGGGTCATAGCCTTGCTGAGTGAAAAACGGACTTGTTTCTGATTGGGCACAAAGAACTGCATTTCTTTGGACTTGTGAATCCATGTTCATCTTCCTTTGGCCACGGAACCCCTTGGCCAGCTCTTTAGGGACTGGATGGAGTGAAGGCCCTTTGGGGTCGTGGGGGTGCAGCTTTCCACTCACCCGAGGATGGCCATGGCTCTTGGGTTAGCAGTTACCTGGCTGTGGGCGTGGGAAGAAATGGCCTTGAATTACTGATTGTATTTGGTACACATTGTGTGATACTTGAAGAGATAAAGGGACTCAGCAGCCCTTAATTGAAATCGAAGCTTTTTACCGCTCTCCCCGCCTGCCCTGGCTCCTTCCTTCTTCCTTGCATTGTGATGATCTAGTGGGCATGTCTGTCACCTGGACAAATGCCTCCTATAACCTCTTAATAGTTGTGTATAATGAAAACTGTAAACTTTTTTAAATAAAATGTGTATATACCTTGAAAAAAAAAAAAGAAAGCCATGGGCTAAGTCTGGACCTCGGTCCTTTCCAGCTTCAGTTTCTTATTCAAAATGTGTGAAATAATATTTATCTTATAGTTATATGGCTTCTAATACTGAGAGACAGACAAAGGCTGTGACTTTTAATTATTTTAATTAATTTTATTTTTGAATGCCATAATCTTTTCCTCAAAAAAAAAAACCACTTGCAAATAAATAAAGACATTACCCACCCAAATTAACAAGACTTCAGCTCTGCACAACTCAATGAGCTTCAGTATAGTTAGAACAGGCATTCAGAACATCAGCTGGAGAACTTCACATTACATTTTTACACTTTCAGTCTTGAATATATTCTATGCACTTATCCACCACCAACCCCAAAAATCCCATGACAGAATTAGAACAGAAACCAGTCAGTTGCTGTCCTCTTTCATGACTTGTCTTCATTCCCTGCACTCAGCCCTTCCTCATCCCTGTATTTAGCATTTCTTGTTCTCCTTTCTTCACGTTATACTGTATACAATTGTGCATGTATTTACACACATACATGAGAACATTGTTTTCTCTTTCTGCGATTGTGTGATCTTGCATAATATTATATATCCTAAGTCCATCCATTTTCCTGAAAACTGCTTAACTGCATTTTCTTTACAGCTGTGCAGTGTATAATATTTCCCTTATCCATTCATCTGTTGATAAACAGCTAGATTAATTTCAGTTATTTGCTTTAGTGAAGAAAGCATCAGTGAACAGGAAGGTGCAAATATCTTTATGATGGGTAAGAAGTTCTCTGGATGTATGCCTAGGGGTAAAAGAGCTGGGTTATATGCTAACATTGTTTTAAATTTTTGAGGACCCTCCAAGTTATCTCCACAAAGACTATATTAATTTGTACCACATTATATTGGTTACTTTTCTATTGCTGTGATCAAACACTATGGCCAAAAGCAACTCAGGGAGAAAAGTTTATTTCATCTTTTAGCTTTTAGATCATTATCCAAGGAAGTCAGGACAGGAACTCAAGGCAGGAACTTGGAGGCAGGAACTGAAGCAAAGGTGCTGAATGCATGCTAGTTACTGGCTTGTTCCTCACAGCTTGCTCAGCCTGCTTTCTTATAGCACCCAGGATCACCAGCCCCAAGGTGGCACCACCCTCCCACATCAATCATTAATCAAGAAAATGTACCAGAGGCTTGTCCGCAGGACTGTGTGGTGGGGGCATTTTCTCAACTGAGGTTCCCTCTTCTGAAAGGACTCTAACTTGCACCAAGCTGACATAAAACTGGCCAACAGTAAGGGTTCCTCTCTCTCCACGTGTTCTCCAACATTTACCATCAGATTTGTGGATGATAGCCATTCTGGCTGGGGTGAGGTAATGTCTAAAAGGAATTTCAATTTGCATTTTCCTGAGGGCTAGGGATATTGAACACTTTTTAAAATAGTTTTTTTTGTCTTGTTTTTGTTGTTTGTTTTTTGTTTTTTTTGCTATTTGTGTTTCTTTTTTTGGTAACTCTCTATTCGGTTCATTTGCCTATTTACTGACTGGCACTTTTATTTCTTAGTATTTCATTTCTGCAATTCTTTGTAATTCCTGGATGTTAGCCTCTTGTCTGAAGTGTAGCTGGTAAAGATAGTCTCTCATTCTGTGGGCTCTTTGTTGACTTTGCTGATGGTTTGTGATATAGAGATTTTGATGTGGAGTGCAGTCTGATATTCTGATCCACATACATAATAAGAACATTGTCTAAGATGTTTGGCATCCATTTGTGTTGAGAGCATGAAAGCAATTCCCCTTTTAGCCAGTCTGGAGTATACAATTACTTACTGCAATCATGGTATTGTGACCATATCTGGACCTCATCCCTCCCATCCAGTAGCAGTTTCCTGTCTGATGACCAGTCTCTTTGGCCCATTCTTCCCAGCTGTAGTGATCATTCTTCACTTCTTTGAGCTTAGTCGCTACAGTTTCTCACATGCATGAGGACATGTAGCATTTGTTTTCGTGTGTCTGGCTTATTCTATTGAAATTAACACGTGTCTTGAGACTCGTTTGTGCTGTTCCTGATTACAAGATTTCATCATATATCCTTTACCCACTCACCCTCAGTGGGCATCTACTATACATAGTGCTATAGTAAATATGAGAAGGTGCCCACTACCCAGCCGGCTGTTGCCAAGTGAGATTTTTGGCTCAGTGTATTCAGTTTAGTTGTTTAAGAGAAGAAAGCTAGATGTTTATGCCAAAATATTGGTGCCTAGTAAACTAAAGCAAAGATATATGCAGACAAACACAGGAAGGTGGAGCCACTATTTCAGGTTCCCCTCTGCTGCTGCGGCTGCAAACCTCACGGAGTATGGCTGTTAAGACTGCACGTGGAGGACACTTTTCGCTGCCGAAGGCAGAGAGTAAGTTTGTTTACTGTGGCATCCTGAGAGGGTAGAAATATATTTTCTTATACACTATACCCCAGTAAATGGCCTTGGTTAAAAAAAAATAAGGAATGCCAACAACAGACCTATGCCTCAAAGGGCATCTGGGGCTGGGACACCAGTTTCTTTTACTTTGTCATAAAAATATATAGGCAGTTAATATTTTCTGTTACTTGTTTTCCAAATTGAAGTTTTAGGAGAGGTTGGAGATGAAATATTTTTTTCTTGAATTACTAAAGAGTAATAATCCCTCTGAACATAGCTTATATCAAACATGTGCTCATTAACTTATGTTTGGATGATCTCCATATCTGAATGTTCAGAACTTTAGGCACAGTGCTATATGGAAGTGATTAAATATTCAAGATGACTTCAATTATAGTGCCCCCATACATAACAAACAAACCATTCATCTTAACACACTTCAAGGGATCTCTGTATTTTAAAGGGAAGAGAGTCACCACCACATGACGTCTTGGTTAATACTGACCATGCCCACGCAGCACAGACTCAGAAACATCCTCAGTTGTTTAGAAGTAGTTTAGCTGCTTTATGATGGACACCAACATATCTCACGGCCAAACTTTGGGGCTTCCCACTTTTCTTTAAATGACAACGTGTAAGCAATGTAATTTATCTCAGGTCTTAAGTGCAAGAACAGAGAGCCAGACTTAGAGCAAGGTCACTAATGCCCATGATGGAAGTCTGCTGTCCTTTCTGTGGCTAATCTCTGCTTCGCTGTAACCTTTACACTCCGCCTCACTACTACATCACTCTGTTTTAATTAAAGTTAATGGTTAGCAAGCACGTACCCAGCAGCCTGCCTCACACTCCTTTATCATCAGACTTGCCCACCCTTTGCCTCCAGCCATCCCAGGGCACTTTGACGTTAAGTTCAGCCTCACAATTAAGTAACTTGCCACCTTTGAGCCAGCAATAAACAGCAGCTCCTGATCTGCAGGGCTTATGAGCAGATGAGAAGTGGTGCTTGCGGTGATTGCATTCCTAAGCCCACAATTATCACAGTTCAGAACTAATTTTTAGGCCTTAAATAAAGCCCAAAGAATCTACACAAAGCACTTCATTTTTTTTTCTGGAAAGGTTAAATTAAAATTAAAGTGTTCACTGGAAAGTCATCCTCTTTAAAATGCACCTCCTAAGAACCACTTACCCAAGGAAGGAGCAGCTACTGTGATTGGAATTTTTCTGGTATAAATCCCTACTCGTTACAATAGCAATAGAGAGATCACTCATTTTTTTAAGTGCAGAATTTTTTTTTTTTTTTTGGTTTTTCGAGACAGGGTTTCTCTGTGTAGCTTTGCGCCTTTCCTGGGACTCACTTGGTAGCCCAGGCTGGCCTCAAACTCACAGAGATCCGCCTGGCTCTGCCTCCCAAGTGCTGGGATTAAAGGCGTGTGCCACCACCACCCGGCTTAAGTGTAGTATTTTTAAAACTCACTCTTCAAGGCAGTTCTTACAGGTTTAGAGATTGTACACATTTACACACGATGGTAATTTATTAAGCAAAACAGGTGACTGGAGTGCAGGAGAGCGAAACAGACTGCACTCCACAGAGACCTAAAGCAGCAGGGAATTATAACCAGGGCAGCACCCAGGGTGTGCAAACTGTCTCCTGAAAAGAGCCCCGGTGCCTTTGCAGCTTGCTTTGGAACATTGTGAGTGACATCAGGTCAGGGTGGGAAGCAGAGAGAGGCCATGGCGACAGCAACTGTGTTCTTACTACATGAAGAGCTGTGAGGAGGGAGAGCCCAGAGAGGAACCTCCCCACTCATCTCGGACAGCTCAGATGTGTTGGGACTGCAGGGAATTTCAATTGAGATTCCTGTTAAGTTCCATATGGCAGGAATCTCACAAGTTGTTCTGTTGACCTTCAAGGCAGAAGATGTATTAAATGATTTTCCCCGGGATCTGTCTAGAATAATGAGAGGTTATGTATGTGTATATATATACACATGGATCAGGTAAAAGCCAACATGAACCGTGTAAGTAAATAAACATTTTTAATAGCCAAATTAAAGACTTGTAGAAATTAAGTGAAATAGTTGATTTTCATAATGTATTTTATTTAACTCCATCTGATGCTATAGAGACCCAGACCCATTTCCCCTAATCCTCACATCATGCTTTCAACACCACATCTACAGGATACTTCTCACCTCTTTAGTAGGTAGTCAGTCAGCTCTGGGAGGTGCTGTGGTTTGAGTATGAGATGTTCCCTTTGAGCTCAGTGGTTTGAACACTTGGTCCTGGCTGGTGGTGCTTCCTCTGTGAAGGTTGTTGAGAGCCTGGAGGACTTATCAGAGGAAGTGCCTCACTGGAGAAGGCCTTGTGGTTTTACAGCCTATCCCACTTCTTCACAGTCTGCCTCTTGACTGTGGATGCAAGGTGACCATCCAACCTCCTACTCACACTGCTCTGGCTTCCCCACCAAGCTGGGATGTGTACCATGAAACTGTAAGCGTAAGTAAATCCTTCTTCACATTGCTTCTCATTGGGGATTTTGTCTCAACAATGAGGACAGTAAAAAAGACAAGAGAAGACCTTGGTTGTTCTAGAATTCAAATTGACCTGACACTAGCTATCTGGAGGTGACATCAGGTTGAAATCCCAGACCCCCCAAGACTGACTTCTGTCTGGTACTAGCTACAAGCCCCAGGTTGTTTGTGTTGTCCTACTGACTCACAAGCTATACGCTGGGATTCTCTTGACCATCACCTTACTTGTCTATTAGAAAGGATATTGCAGATGATACAGATGAAGAGCTGCCTCGGCCATGACACAGGGGAAGATCTGGAAAGAGAGGGAGAGGGGAAGTTTGATACCCTGTCTGTGAGCTCCACCAAGGAAGCCTCAGGGGTTCAGTGATCTGGAAGCTCTGAACCCTGCCTTTCTAGCATTTTCTGAGGGCTTATATGGGTTTGATTGATCAGGTCATTGGCTCTTGGTGATCAAATGAAGCTTCAGCTTCTGTCCCCTCCTCTATGGAGGCTGAAAGTCTTTAACATCTAATCTTCCCTTAATTGTTTTGGTAAAGAGACCCCATTCTGCAGTTATGTAGGGGCTGCCCAGAACTGGCCAACTTATTAGAAAACAAAAGATTAATTCCAGATAGTACAAACACTGTAGGAGTCACAAGAGTCCAAGAAACTGGATGAAGACCAAATATATCTTTCATAATATAACATTTAATATATCTAACATACTATAATTACAGCATGGAATCAATATTTGGAAACTGTATTGTGTGCATGTGTATATTTGGGTAAGCGTGTGTGTGTGTGTGTGTGTGTGTGTGTGTGTGTGTGTGTGTAGAGGACAGTATACAACCTTGAGTATTATTCCTTCGGAACACCTTTGTTTTTGGCTTTTGTTTTTCTTTTGAGACAAGGTCTCTCACTGACCTGGAGTTCATTGGCTGGCTGGCCAGTGAGCCCAAGGGTCTGCCTGTCTGGGCCATCCCAATCCTGGGATTGTAAGTGTGTGCCGCTACATCCAGCATTTCTATTTTAATTTTCAATGATTCTGAGATGCAAACTCAGTTCCTCATGCTTGTAAAGCAGGCATCTCACTAGCAAAGCTGTCTCTCCAGCTTCTAAAACCTATTAATGAGATGTACTTTACACCGTTTTATTTGCCAGTCTTTGAAATCTGTGTCTATTTTATGCTCACAACATGTCTGAAGATATGTTTTTGTAACTTCTAGGAATCAATAGACACATGTGATTCATCCAAATGTATAGTGGGGGTGTGGGTGAGGTGAAGACAGACACACACACACACACACACACACACACACACACACACACACACACAGAGAGAGAGAGAGAGAGAGAGAGAGAGAGAGAGAGAGAGAGAGAATGAATTTCCTTCTGTGGTCGAGGCATAAGTCAGAATTCTCAAGTGATACTCAAACCTCCTCCTCCAGTCACCAATGCTATGAGCCTTGCGATGCACAAATAGTTTTGGAATGAATCATTTATTTATATCGTATGGATACAGCTATCACTATTTGGTAAGGCAAAGAGTTGGTATAATGTAAATATATCTTCTCTGCTTTTAGCACAATATTTGGCTTAATGGAGGGAGTTAGGACATGACTTCACAGGAGTGAATTTTGTCTCCCAGGGTAGTTTGTATTTCCTTGCAAGCCTGAGGTGAAATCATAAATCCAAATCAATTCAGCTCTGGAAGTTACTTTTCTCTAACCGTTGGGGATGGCTCATGAGCACACTGCAAGAACTGTGGAGATATAAGAACTTTACTCAGGAAGCAACTGAAGAATAGTATAGTGAAGTGCACAGTAAAGGTGCAAAAATCATTTCTGGCAGTGCCAAATGGACAGCCTGTATCCTGAATAAAGTTTGTGGAAAGTGCTAGTAATGGTGATTTGTAATACGCAGAGACAAAGACTAAAGGCAATCAATTATGTATGGCCTGTTATTACTTTGTAAAAGTGACTCCTGAATTGTTTTATTATTTGATAATGTTTTTTCCAGGAAAGTAAGGTTTTCTCTGCTGCCATTTTTCACTGCAATAGAAGCAGCTAAGCTCCAAGCTGTGTTAGTAAGCACTGTATTTCCAGCTCTGCCGTGATTTCATTGCAGACTGTGATGATATAGTCATAAAGTTACCCTGGGCACATTGTCAGCTGATTGTAGGCTGAAAGTATTTTTTTAATGTCACATGATAGGACTTAATGCCTTTTGCATTGTGGTTTGGGTTGTTCTATCAGGAAAATGAATCTACTCAGATGCTTGGAGTCACAGTTTTCTTCATAGAAATGCCAGAAAACACTGTTTGAACATGTGGTTCATTCCTCCATTGTGTTTCCTTATAGAGAATCGAGGTTCCTGGGGGGCATTTCTAGTATATTAAAGAAGCTGTCCTGCCTCCGGAGCTTTCACTTGACACAGAGATCCAGGACTAGAGAAAACCAAGGAGACAAGCAGTCACCTGCAGTCTGCTGAGGCTTCCGAAGATTCATTCCTGGCTGCACTTTGCTGTGCTATGGTTCTCCTCCTCCCAAGCAAAGCTCTCCTTCATCTGTCCTGTATTAGTGGCCTCCATTGTGACTTACTGTAGGCAGAACCTTGGCTTCTGGACAGGGAGAGACAGCTTTGGAAATGAACAGGTTCATAAAGAGTCCTGGGGTTCATGAAGTCATCATTTGGTTATGTGTTTAGCTAATTATGATCCCCTGAATCAAGGCCTGTTAACAGGTAGAGCACTTATGTGACTCGTCTCCATGGGACAGGAATCAAGGCCTGTTAACAGGTAGAGCACTTATGTGATTCACCCCCATGGGACAGGAATCAAGGCCTGTTAACAGGTAGAGCACTTATGTGACTCGTCTCCATGGGACAGGAATCAAGGCCTGTTAACAGGTAGAGCACTTATGTGACTCGTCTCCATGGGACAGGAATCAAGGCCTGTTAACAGGTAGAGCATTTATGTGACTCGTCTCCATGGGACAGGAATCAAGGCCTGTTAACAGGTAGAGCACTTATGTGACTCGTCTCCATGGGACAGGAATCAAGGCCTGTTAACAGGTAGAGCATTTATGTGACTCGTCTCCATGGGACAGGAATCAAGGCCTGTTAACAGGTAGAGCACTTATGTGACTCGTCTCCATGGGACAGGAATCAAGGCCTGTTAACAGGTAGAGCATTTATGTGATTCACCCCCATGGGACAGGAATCAAGGCCTGTTAACAGGTAGAGCACTTATGTGACTCGTCTCCATGGGACAGGAATCAAGGCCTGTTAACAGGTAGAGCATTTATGTGATTCACCCCCATGGGACAGGAATCAAGGCCTGTTAACAGGTAGAGCATTTATGTGACTCGTCTCCATGGGACAGGAATCAAGGCCTGTTAACAGGTAGAGCACTTATGTGATTCACCCCCATGGGACAGGAATCAAGGCCTGTTAACAGGTAGAGCATTTATGTGACTCGTCTCCATGGGACAGGAATCAAGGCCTGTTAACAGGTAGAGCACTTATGTGACTCGTCTCCATGGGACAGGAATCAAGGCCTGTTAACAGGTAGAGCACTTATGTGATTCACCCCCATGGGACAGGAATCAAGGCCTGTTAACAGGTAGAGCATTTATGTGACTCGTCTCCATGGGACAGGAATCAAGGCCTGTTAACAGGTAGAGCACTTATGTGATTCACCCCCATGGGACAGGAATCAAGGCCTGTTAACAGGTAGAGCATTTATGTGATTCACCCCCATGGGACAGGAATCAAGGCCTGTTAACAGGTAGAGCACTTATGTGACTCGTCCCCCTGAGGCTGTCAGTGATGGAGGAAAACTGAATGTTTATCTAATGTCCCCGCCCACCCCACCCCCTAGTGTTTCTCCACAACAGCTGCATTTGTGCTTCAGATTTTCAGTAGAAAAGTTGGGATGGTCATCCGGGCTTGGTGTGGAGTATCAGGAGGGTAATTTTCATGCCTCAGATAGACACCATAGTGGAGGTATTTTCAGAACACAGGTACTTAGTATATTTGTTTAGAGCTTTGGAGTAAGCCAGGAGATCTATTGTCCTGAACAGACTGTTTAGTTAGAAAAAAAAAACCAAATACACATAATCATCCAAGTGTCAGAAAAATAATCTGAAACTACAGTTTAGGAACAACAACAGCTTATCATGGTTGTAAAAAATCTTATGCTGCAAGGATTTGAGGCTAGGTGCTCACCTTATTCTGGGTTGTGTGTGGGTGTACCACTCCCACCCCCTATACGATGAATTTCTAGACCATGCTTCACATATATAAAAATTATTTTCAATTAAATTCTCAAGTTCTGCTTCCCTGAGAGTTTTAATCATCATGCTTTCAAATGAACCAGTGGTTCATAGGCATCCAGAGAAGGAAGAGACCTATCAGATTATCAAGTCCATCCCAACAGATATCTAAGGAGTGTTCCCTGCAGTTCACTTTCAATTGCTTTCTTCACGTCTCGTTTTAAATGACTCCAGCAATGGGACTCTTCACCAATCTAAGAGGCCCATGGGAGCCTTTGCTCAGCCTCAGAATCCTCATTTTCGAAAACATACTCTGATATGAAGTCTTGTTACACCACTTGCCTCTCCCAATGGGCCCTTTCTTCTTCCCTGCATTTATGCCCTTCAGCCCCTACTGACACCAGGGAATGGCAATAGCTTTCCTCATCAATTACTCTCTTCTTTCCCCTCATTGCTTTTTATTCTTTGTTAATCTGAAGATTCCCATGCTTTTGTCTGCTTCTCTGGTTTATGTCATCATAGTAACTGAAGGCTTTGACAAGCACACCATTTCATCAGAAGCCCTTGAAGGCTGCTGCTTGTCCTTATGGCCTTCAGCTCCAAGACAGAAGATTTTCTATAATCTTGAGCATTCAAGACATGATCAAGTCTATGAGTACCTGTGTAATCACCTGCACTAGATAATCACTCAGTATATCTTTGGTGTCTGGGAGGTAAATGTTACATGAGGAAGAGTTGGCTGAATGTCATCATACATTCAGAGATGTAAGATAAGGATATTGTACATAAACAATTGTGCACAACTCCAACTTAAAGAAGAAATAAAAGTGAAGACCCTGTGTGGGGTTGCCTGAAACTTTTCCCTCTTTTTAGATCCCAAATTTGAAGTCATCGAAAAACCCCAGTCCTGAAGAATATTATAAAATTCATCTGGTAATTTGTCATGAATTAGTTGTACAACTAATTAAAAAAAATTCAAATAAACATTCATTTCCCAGTTATCAAATGTCCTTTAAATTCTTTGGTGATGTGGAGTATGTGTCTGGCATTGACTTGTCTCTGGGTTGTTTCTAAATCGTTTCATTTTCTTAGAATGAAGCAGATGGAGATTTTGGATAAGTTGGATAAAATTGCCTTTTCCCTGCTAGACTCTTGCCAGTGTACAGTGCTGTCCTCTAATAGTGGAGCCCATCACCTAAGGGAATGTGTGCTGTGAAGGGAAGGATGTTGTATTTGCCTTTTGGGTGGGGGACACAGTTTCTTTGTGTAACCCTGGCTGTCCTGGATCTCACTTTGTAGACAAGGCTGGCCTCAAACTCACATAGATCTGCCTGCCTCTGCCTCCCGAGTGCTGAGATTAAAGGCGTGCTCTGACATATATTTACCTTCTTGAAGCAGTGGTTCTACATCCTTGTCATGGCTTTCTTACTAAACTCTGTAACTTAATATGCACAGAAATATCTGTTGTGTCTTAACCATTGTCCACTCATTTTTGCCTTCAGGTTATGGTATGTATGGATTCAGGAGCGAAGGTAGCTTGGAACTAAAGGTTCTCAAAGATGTAACTGTATGGAACGTTGTTGGCCCAGCCATAAAAGAGGCAGCAGTTACTTCCTGGGGATATGTTGCCGATCAGGAACTTTACATCCAAGTTTCAGCAACTGTAGGTGGAGCTCCAGGAAGTTAGCCTTTTAAAGGGAAATAGCCTCGTCATCGTATATCTGACAGTGTCTCTGGCATGCCAGGATATGGGTTTATTAAACCTTTAACAACCTTGAGGGCAAATTGGAGAATAAGATTCCTCATAACTTTGATGGTTTCTGACCAAGTCATTCTCTGTTTCTATGCCCGTCTCTTCTCATTCATTCTCATCACTAATAATACATCCCTACACACTTAAGCTTACATGGATGCAGGAGTGGGGACTAGAAATCTCAAAATAGCACTAAGGGGTAGGCATACACAGTGCAGTCGTCATTTTCAGTAGAGAGTACAACCCTTCAGTCTCTGAGCAGCAGAACATTCCTGTAGCCCTGTTACATAAGTATGTCTTTATGAATAAACCTTTTATTCCCTCTGCTCTGTATTGTCCTAAAATCTAGAAAGATAAGTTTCTGCATCTTCAGTTACTTAGGAAATTCAACCGGTAGTTAAATACTTTCTAGAAGGAAAAGTCAGTTTACAAATTAATAAAATGGGGATAATAGCACGTTTCTGTAATCATACTAAGTAATGAAGACAGGAAGATTGGGAGTTCAAGGCCAGCCTGGGTTACATATTGAGACCCTGTCTAAAAACAAAAGAAATTGAGTAGCGGTAGTTTACTTTAAAAATCCAACTACAGATCATGGAAACATGCTCAATTTTTGTATATCTCTAAGAACATTTATAGGTAGCACATTAAAAGCAGAAAATGATCATAAAATGAGTATTAGAAAGTATCTGCCTTTAGTTTTAAACTAAATAGGTCCTTTGTTGACATACTGTTCATTATTTTGAAAGCATGTTCTTTGTAGAAAGTAAAAAGACATTATAGTGTGTCTTTGAATTTGGTCAAGTAAAACTATGACACATTAAAAATGAATGTATAATGATTGGTAACAACAACAAACATGAGAGTTCACTTAGGTTTCTTTACCAGTTATTACTGCTAAAATGTTCCAAGTCTTCCTGAGCAAGAAACAAGCGATAATAAAAAGGTATGAAATGTGTGGCTAGGGCTGGAGAGATGCCTCAGTGCTTAAGACAACTGGCTGCTTTTCCAGAGGATTTGAGGTTTAATTCCCAGCGCTCACTTGGCAGCTCACAACCATCCTGGACTCCAGTTCCAGGGGATCTGATTCCTTCTTCTGATGTCTGATGGCACTAGCCATGGTGTATGTGGTGAACAGACATACATGTAGACAATACTCACAACTACTCACATACATAAAATAAGAACTGTGGGAATATGGACACCTAATTGCTAAAAGGGAAAACTAATTTCTGTCCATCCTTAATTCATGTAGTAATAATCCATAGAACACAAACTGAGTTGTATCAGAATATAATGTTTTATTAATATTCTAAGTAGATGATTACATTCAATCATTCTCTGTGCTTCACAAGTATTCAGCATTTTTAGGAACTGTTTTCATGTTAGATACTATTCAGTGCCTTGGGGTTTATGAAGACCTGTACAACATGAGTCAGTCTCTTTTCTTGGGATTTCAGATTGGTAGAGGTGTCAGACATGTCCATACCTACTTATGCTATAACACAGAAATGAATAAATACAATAGAAGAATCAAATGTCTTGGGAATTCAGAGAAGAAACTTGCAGCTAGGAAATGAGAAGGCTGTGCTCGAGCAAGTTGAATTTGACTTGTCTGTTAGGAGTAGATAGAATTTCCATAGCTTGTGCTGAGGACTAGTATTCCAAGGGAAGTATTGTAAATACATGTATTCAAAAGGGCAGAATAAATTGTAAAGACAAACAGTTCAGTTTGATCAGTGAATAATAATGTAATTAAAGAAGAATCGCATGTGGCTGATCAGGTGGGTTATAAAATGAGAGCTTATGTGTAAGGGGACAGGAGGAGCCCTTTCATTCCAGTTGTGGAATGTAGACTTGATTAAATCAAGAACGAGTGAAAAGTGTTTAGCCAGGGGAAGAGAGAAGGGAGTTGTCATTAGACGTGACAGTATGTAGGCAAGCTGTCAGACGGGGTGAGGAAAGGATGCCTTGGAGCAGGAGAGGTTAAGTGACTGAAAGAGGGTCTTGAGAGAAGGCCCCAGAAAAGGTGAGGATGACGAAAGCCTGAGATTCCAGTTTTAATGGCACCATGAGGAAGTTAAAGATGGAGAAATTTAGGGATGGGATGGCTGTGTGGTTGGAATTTACATACAATGTTGACTAACAGCATTTAAAAACAAGAATTATAACAGAATTTTATTCAGTCGTGAAGAACAATGAAATTGCCAGAAAATGAATGGAACTGGAAAGGATTAGGCACAAACACAAGTGTCATAGTTCTTGTGTGGACTCTAGCTTCTAGCTGCTGAGTGTGTTGATGTAGGTGGGAGGAGATGTGAGGAGAGCCCAGGGAGGCAGATGGGGTCCATGAAATAGAGGCTTAGGAGTGGGGTACGGGGCACACAACAGGACAGAATGGAAGGAGAATACCGAGGGTCATAACAGCCTTACAGCAGGAAACGGGAAAGGAGACGGGCTGATAATCAGTCAAAATGAAGTATGCTTGGAGATGATTTTGTAAGATACATTTTAAATACCGGATCAGAGATCTGGAAATCAGAGTGGATGAAGATGTGTCCCACCATGACAGAATGGGAAGGAGACAGAGAGGTTTGGGGACCAGAGAGGGCTGGGTGAGCCAGAGGTTACTGAGGATGAAGAGAAAGTATAAAGAACTGGAGAATTAAAATGAAGAAAAAGTATGAACTGTGAGTCAGGTGGACGTGTTCACAAAGACCCCAGCTCCTTTAGCAGAAGTGCTGCAAACCTGAGAAGTGGCCGACTGTAAAACGGCAGGCTCCTCTCTAACCTCTGAGAAGTGAGGTTTGCACCCCCGTATCCCCACCTCTGACATACATACGTAAAGCATCCAATCAGCATTTTCCCTTTTTATCCTCTGACTTTAGAGGTTGGCAGGTATCCAGGCTGAGCCATGAGTCAGCTTCTCATCTTGGGCTGCTGAAGAGCTACCCCACAGCTGCAGGTGGCAAGCGGGAGGGGTTTCCTGGTCTTTACTGAACAAAAGGTGAGTGACTTCCTCTGCTCTGTGGAATGGGACTAGAAAGTTTAGCTGCCTGTAGCTGTTTTTGAAATGTGGACTTTCATCAAAAGGTGAGCTGTAGAATGAAGGAAGTTCTTTGTAAAGTTGTACTGAAAAATAAACACTCACGACTTAGTTAAGTTAACCCCACCCTGACTAAAAACAAGTTGCTTCTAGTTACAATAGCAACAATACTAAAACAAAGGTTGTGATCGTAGTTTCTAGAGCCAGGTCACAGGTTCACTGTGGAAAAATAAAACCAAATGCTGGATTTTGATACACTATTAGTGTTCAAGTCTCAGAAAAACAGCCAATGGACAAGTCTGGATGGCAGTGACCACTGACAGACGTCATAACTAGAAGATTAGTGTTTGCAGTTACAGCCTTTGTGTAGAAGAAAGTATTCTTTATTCAATGATCTCTGCTTAGCTGTGTACAGTATTTTAGTTAATAATGTATAATAGGTATTTGGCACAGACTTTGTTAAATTTTTACATCGCATAAATGGAATCTAGGCTTCAGTGTGTTGACAGGAAGCTTTTCATCTATTAGTGAAGTTAAGGCACTACGTAATTGTCCTCTCACACTGTGGATTTGTGTCATTGAAGTTGAAGCAGTTGATCTTGTGATGGCGGTGTATGGCCTGAAGAGGCATCCTGGAGATTGTATATCTACTTGGCACTGCAGAAGGACAGCGTTCTTCCTATCAAAGCAAGTCTCAGAGTCAGGGCATAGGCAACATTTACCCTGATTTCTTATACACCACGGGTGTCTGTTTGTCATTTGTCCCTGTGGGCAAATCCCACCTCTGTCACTGGTTTTGTGAGTTGTGTTTTCTTGGAACAGAGGCACGCTTACTTGCTTGTTCTCATTGTGTGACAGAAATGAGTGGTCGCAACAGGAAGCCTGGGAGTTAAAGTATCTACTGTGTTGTTGTTTGTAGAGTTTGCTGGCTCGACTAAGTGTGACTCTGACCTTGAGAGCAGAGCATATTACAGAAGTGAGACCTTTAGGAAGGAGTCTACTGAGAAGGATTGAAGGCCACACAGTTACAGGGGAGCAGTATGGCAGTACTGGGGCAACTCCCCAGTGACCTGATCACGACAGGGACTCAGTAACCACCTACTCTGTTTGTTCAGTGAATCCCAAGAATCTGCTTTGCTTTTTGGGTAGAAAGAACAAACTCTTTTGACGCCAATTTAACCGTGTTTAAAGCTGACAAATGACCTTCTCATGCTATTACCCAGAACTAGACATCCCTAGTTACATTTTGTTTTCAGTATGGGTAAACCAGTCCCAAACAGTCCAAACAGGACTGGTTTTACTGTTGAACCCTGGGAATATCATATTCTGACACCAGCCGCTGGCCTTTGTGGTTAAACAGTTCAGAAAACATTAGACCCTTGTCTCGTTTCAGCCATGGTTTCTCATGTGCCTTTGCTGTATCAAGCAAGCTGGGAGTGAAAATGAGCTCATTTGTTTACAGTTTATATATAGGGCAAACGCTTCTCTCCCCCATGTCCTGTTTCCATTAGAAGCAGATTGGCAACCCCTTATCTTCAGCAGTGAGGGGACTAGCCCAGCTCGGAATTGTTTTTAGGGATAGATGGAAGATCACCACTCATGCCGAGAAAGGTGTCTACGAAGTTGTGTAGGTTCTAGTAGTGCGTTCTGATGTCCAGGTCCCTGAGCTCTCCAAAGGAGTCTCAGGAGATGGAAATAGCAGCAAGCAGCTCCATTTGTGTTGTTTTTGGTTCTGAGAGGTGAAAGTAAAGACAAAGTGCAAATCCTTGGGCGGAAGACCCAACCCTGGGCTTCCCGGACGGATGGATATATTAGAGACAAGGGACAAGGGACCACGGGAATAAGGATTATTTGGAGGTAAGAAGAAGGTTCTGGTGGGAATTTTGAGACCAGAGTTTCCATCCTTCAGAGTACTTCCTGAACACATAAGCCACTCTCGCACGGAGAGCACTTGCAGTGTGTATACTTGCCTCGTGGATTAGCTTCGCAGTCAGTATGATCTATTAAAGTTCTAAACTTAGACATTGAAAGACCCCACTTATAGCAAGCTTTTACTCAGCCTAAGAAACGCCATTCTGCAAGGCAGGGAAAACAGGGAGGTCATGACTGTGGCTGGCCACCTGGCCTTGGTAAAGAGAGCTGTGATCAGCCACCCAGCCTTGGGAGAAAAACCGTTGAGTCAAAATAAGACATCTGTGGTTAGCTACCCGACCTTGGGGAATAAACAGTTGGGCTGGGAAAACACCCACAAGGCCAAGTCAGACACACACATCAAATTCCCGAGAAGTTTAAGAGTTCACCCTGACCTCAATTGAATCCACCAATGGGAACCCTGTAACTATGCCTCTCGCTTCTGTAACCGCGCTTCTGCTCCTGGAAACCTATAAAAAGTCCCCCTTACCCTAGGAGGGCGCGCAAGTCTTCCGAGAGACTTTGTCGCCCAGGTACCTGTGTAATAAACCCTCTTGCTGTTTGCATCTGATCTGTGGTTTCGGCGTGTTCCTTGGGGTTGGGGTCTCTCCTGAGGGAAGATCTCCTCAGGGGGTCTTTCAACATTCATTGACATTCATTTGCATTCCACAAAACTGAATATTACCAGGTATTTCCCTTCTCTTTAGTTCAGACACAAGATACCAGATTGTACTTTAGGTGATGGCAAGAACTCTGCTTAAAATAACAATTTCAGGTGAATTAGAGGTCATAAAAGTTATGATGTCATCTCCTCATCCATCTTTTTGCAAATGTAAGACAAAGCAGATTTTTATAATATTTTCTCTTTTGAATTTTTTATTGTAACATCAATACAGAGAAATATAGTAAAGCGATGACAGTAATATTGTGTGAGGGGTGGGATTGGGAGGGGGAAGAGAAGAAGGGGTGGGTTAGGGAGGGGAGGGGAGGAGGGCTACTGACAGGGAAAGAACAAGCACTTTTATTCATCACATTCTTACAAGTTCCATGAATATTTATCATTCAGCATTACAAGTTTTATTCCAACAACAGTTTCTCAAATGATACCTATCATCTGGTACCTCTCAAGATGTTACTCACAATCTACCCCTGGAGTTAATTCCTATGGTCTTTATTAATCAGCTCTGAACTTTCACTAGAATTTTGTCCATGTCCAATTCACTTATAAATGTTGATTTCCCTGTAGTTCTCTCTGAGTAGAATCTTAAAGGTATAATTGTAGGGAGGGGTAAGAGTGACAAATAAGTACACGTGTCCACTTGTTGTTGTATCTTATCTTATCCTAACTTATCCTAACTTATCTTATCTTATCTTAACTTATCTTATCTTATCCTAACTTATCCTATCCTAACTTATCCTAACTTACCCACCCACCTAAAATTACTTAATAGTCCCTCCCAACCCCAAATTCTTAATGATTATGTATCCCCAATTACTTAACTGTCTATAGAAAAAAGAAAAAGAAAAACAATGCAATGTTCAAAACCAACTCAGAAATGTTCTACAATCTGAAACAATCAAAAGCGTCCATTCCCATCAGATGCGTGTTCCCTCTCCAGCTGAATATGTAGCACGGTTCCTGCAGACTCTTCTCTTCCGCAGGTGGTCCTTCATGACTTCTCAGGCCTCTCCAACAGGGTGCTCTCTGTTGCCAATCTCGGTACTGTGTGGGATGCGGGATGTCGATGACGTGTGACAGCCAGATCAGTTCAGGAGTCCAGGAGGTACCTGCAAACTTAAACACAACTCTGGACTGCACCATACAGATGCCCATGTCAAATCAGTATCTCAGCCAAATGCCTCCTGGTTCAAACTAAACTGACCCATCATGATGACCTTTATGACCAGCAATAGGAACGCTCACATCCTCTTCATCATTAATCAATGAAAAATAAAAATTTGGGCCTACAGCCAATTAGTCAATTTTGTCCATTTGTATGCTCCTCCTTTTCCAACTTATCTTTCCTTCCTAATAAATGAATAAAGGCATTTTTGTTGGAAATGCCAAATAAAAGAAAAAAAAAGGAACAATTACTGTAAACTTGATCAACAGAAGCAAAATAAAAGGAAACTTAACAACTTAACTAAATAAAAGGAAACTTAACAACCTAAGAAAATAAAAGGAAACTTAACAAAATTTCAGTATTATAGAGTAAATTGAAGATTACTTATCCTTAATGCCTAACCTCTATAGATAGTATATATTGGAATAGAGCATAGAACACACTGCCGAAAAGTCATTGGCAAGCTTCAAAAAACACTCCAACGTGTGTCAGGGATGTTGTGTGGGAGCTGTGACCCCACACCAGCATGCTCTCCCTGACTGTCGAGGTCAACTTTCAGACGTTTGCTTGCACTGGCGGCTAATGTCCGTGTGTCTATGCCATGGCTGCAGATGATGACCCATTTCTAGGCACTCTGCAGCTTGAAGATCAAATCAATTAAAATGGATGAAGGATGGAACTGAGTTCTGAGGTAAACTGAAGTGATGCTTCACAAAAATCAGAAGCACAAATGCACCATTTAAAAGTAATTACTGTAAAACACAATGATTGACAAGCTTTCTGATCCAATTGAACAAGAATCAATAGCCAATTAGGTTTCTTCTTGGAGTCTGTGTATCATCTTTTTGTGAAATTTAAAGGCCCAACTGATAGAATTGAGACTGTAATTCAATGAAAATTCTGAAAGCACAGTCAACACTTGAGAGTAACACTCTTAAAAAAAAACAACTACTAAACTAAGCATGCAAGCAGGGGTAAGGGTGAGAGGATGATGCAAAAGGGAACTTCACCACGAAGAAAAGGAAAATGTGTCCCACTGCTCAGGCTGTGTTTGCCCCTGGAGACTGGGCTGAAACATGCGCTCCTTCAGGCCTGCCTCTTTCATCTCCTTGCATGGAAGCAAAATGGAGTCTCAGCAGGCAGGGGGGGTGACAGGTCCTGCAGCAGGGTTAATGGCAGTGGTAGAAAATCAAACACAAAGAGTTAAGACAAATAGTTCAAAGGTCAAGTTCCAGTGGGTGCAGCAGGATAATCACGGAAGCCTTTCCGTACTGCACCAGAAAGTTCGGCTTCCTTCATAAGGCGCTCTAGGGTATGGGCAAGTCGTGTCCTGCTCCTCTTCCTCCTCCTCTTCTTCTCCCCCTCTGTAAGAAATCAGTTTGTCCTGTGTCAGCCCTGTGTGCCTTTCTTTGTGCCTCAGGTGGCCTGAAGATCCAGCAGCACACAGTCACTGAGAAGCTGCACAGGATGAAGTTGAGAGCAGAGACACTCCAGAGGACACACGACGACAGGTATTTACAAGGGACTGTAGGATGGAGGTGGTGGAGGTGGCGGCGGCGGCGGGGGCTGCGGGGGCTGCGGGGGCGGATACTGAGGTACCGGATGAATATGATGGTGGTGCCAATGTGGGCACCAGGTGATCACATCAGGTATGAGGATCATTCTTCCGTGTATATCTCGCCCCACTGGGTACCATGCAAATGTCACGTGATGACCTGCAAGGGTAGCATAGGCAGGAATCGGGTGGTATCCAGGAATCTGAGGGACAAATTCACCGTAGCTTGCCAGGTGTGCCTGGTCTCCCAGGTTTGGAAGAGCCAGGCGATGGTACTGATTTTGGATCATGCCGTCGTGTTGCGCTGCGTCGTCCTCGTCCACGAATTCTCGCAGGGCAGCCATTTCAGATTCAGACAATGAGTACACATGTCCGCTGGGAATGCTGTGTGCTCCAGGGATCATCTCTATGTGAGGGTCAACCAGCCGGTGACCAGGGTAGACATGCTCATCCACAGGCGTGTACACATTATGGACATCGTAATACCTCACAGGGTAGAGGACGTGGAAAACTCTGTATCCATCCGTGTGGTAGAAGAATGGTGGATGTGGTGGGTATATTACTGGTAACAGCACAGCAGGAGGTATCTGAGAGTACATCCGACATCGAAATCGGCAGTAGTCCGAGTTGAAGACAATGGAGTGAGTGCTGCAGGTGATGTGAGGGTCGTGGGTGCTCAGCCAACGAACTCCCAGGACAATCGGAAAGAACGGAGACTGAGTCACATCAAAAGACAGTATTTCTCGGTGGTCACCCAGGTCAACAATCAGGTGGTGCGTTTCCAGAACAATTGGGCCCGAGGCTATAGGATGCCCATCAATCGCTTCCACCATGATTGGCCATTCTTTGATTCTTAGAGGAATCCCATGGTGGATGACGTAGTCTTGATCGATGAAGTTTCCTGATGCTCCAGAATCAATCATAGCCCGGACAAACAGAGTGTGTCTGCCCGGGATATGGATCTGGAGCATCACTTGAAAGTGAGTAGTCACAGCCTTCGCAGGACAGTTATCCGCGTAGTGGCCTCCGCAGCCGCAATACAGGCATAAGTTCAGTTTAAACCGTCTCTCTTTTTCTTCCTTGGTCAGGCGCATGCGAGCACTGCCCACCGGCTCAGTGGGATCCGTCTGGTGGGTCTGAGACATCACCACGGCCCGGGGGGGGGGCCACCTCGGGCCTGGTTGTCGTCATCATCTTCATCTTCAGCGGCAGCGGCGGCGGCGGCGGCGGCGGCAGCAGCGACGGGAGCAGCGACGGGAGCAGCGGCGGCGGTGGTGGCGGCGGCGGCAGCGGCGGCAGCGGCGGCGGCGGCGGCGGCGGTGGCAGCGTTAGCGGCGAGAGCAGAGGCGGCGGGAACAGCGGCGGCAGTGGCGGCAGCGGCGGCGGCGGCAGTGGCGGCGGAGTCGGCGGCGGCGGCGGCGGCAGCGGCGAGAGCAGTGACGACGGGAGCAGCGGCGGCGGCGGCGGCGGCGGCGGCGGCAGCAGCATCACGGGCCATTCTTCTCTCGATGTAAATGCAAAGGTTGATCAGGTCAGTCAGGTTGTCTGGGATCTTCTTGTGGGCGAGCTCCTCATGCATGGCATCACTGAGGCCTTCGAGGAACTGGTCGATTAGAGCAGGCTCACTCCAATCCAGCTCCAGGGCAAGCATGTGGAATTCGTTGCCATAGTTGGCAACAGAGTCCTGGCCTTGGCGCAGACATTTGATCTGGCGTTTGGCAGCTTCACGTCTCTGAGGGTCTTCAAAGACAAGCTTCAAGTGCATCATAAAGGCCTCGTAGTTGTGCATCAGGTAAGTGTATCTGTCCAGTTTAGCAGTAGCCCAGCGGGCGGCTCGGCCAATCAGCATGCTCGTCACGAAGCACACCCTGGCTCGATCATCGGCGAGAGCTCTGGTGCCCTTTGCCAGGAAGGCCCGGCACTGGGATAGGAACTCTTTCAGCATTTCGGCGTTGCCATCGAACTGGAAGGGGAGGTCTTCAAGGCAGTCGTCGCCGAAGAGCAGTGCTGGAGTGGGAGTGGCTGTAGCGCCCTGGAGCTCTTCCTCCTCTTCGCCTTCTTCAGGCACCTGGATCTGACCTTGCTCCGGCTCAAGTCCCTCTTCCTCTTGGAGCAGGTAGCGGAGTCTGTTGTTGGCCGACGGGAGCCTGTCCACGTGGTACTGGGGGCGGTGGTCCTCCCACTGCTGGTCCTCCCCGAGGTTGCCGTTGTCTCCCGTGTGCTGTTCGTGGATGGGACCGAGGATGGGCACAGGGCTGCTGGGCCTGTTGTCGTTGTCGTTGGGGGGAGGAGGAGGAGGGGGCAGGCAGTCGGAACCACCCGCCGCAGCCATGGTGGCAGGAGGGGACCTCCCAGGTGTTGCTTCACTCTGGGGAGGAAGCCCAGGACCCTGGGCCCCTCGTCGTCGGCGCCTCCTCCTGTCCCTCATACTCACCACGCGAGGACTCCTCTGCGAAGACAGGAAGGGCGACGGGGTCTCACACCTGGCTGGGCGAAGGTCCACTGGTGACCGCGCAGCGGACCTCGGCGACGCTCGGCGGACCTTCTCCGGTGGCTGGCTTCCTCGGGTCGGAGTCGGGACTCTTCTCCTTCTTCTTCGACACATACCAACTGAAGTTGGAAACGCGTGTGCCGAGAGCCCGGACCGCTGGCCTTATGCAGTCTGTTCCGAAGAGGGGGCGCCAGATCCCAGCGTGCTCCGAGGGCTTGCGGGGGGCGGAGGGGGTGCGTGGGCGGTGCAGGAAACCAATGCTGAACTGGCCAAGCTGGGAGGAAAGAAGAAAGGGAGGGGAGGGGAGAAGCCGGCCTAGGCAGGCCAAGAATGCTATTATTCTGGTGGTGGGAGCTGGGAGACCCCTGTGCTTGGACGGGAAAGGGTCGGGGGACACGCAAGATGAGCCCCGCACTGAGAGGTTAGTGGTCTGCGCGCGACACTGGAGGTTCGGGGGCCCACAGGCCGCCGCCTCCCCCTCCCCCACTCGGGTTCCGGGGTACCAGGGCGTGCCCAAAGGGAGCGAGCCCCTCTTTACACGATGCCCCCACAGCACCCCTCTTTCGGGGCGCCCCGAAGCCCACCTCCTGGCACCATGGGTCCTCCCCAGGCTTGACCTCTGGCCTTTTCTTTCTTTCTGCACCCCCACGGCCCCTCCCTGTCCTGCAGGGCAGGAATTCATCTCCAGTTTCCACTGCGGGCACCCCTCCCTGCCCCCACCCTGGTGGAGGACATCTTCTGATCCCTGAAGCAGAGATCTGGGGGTCATCGCCCCTTGGGGTGGGGGGCTTTACCCCACAATTGAGACTCCTTGGCCTAGATGCGAGCCAGAGGACATGGCTGACCAGCTGCTTTCTCTCTCACACAAAGATGTACAAATCTTTTCTCCCTTTCGGGAATCCGATTGAGAGAGAGAGACCACCAAAATATGACATTTAAAAGACTGAATCCCCCCTTCTTTTTAAGCATATTTCCCGGGGGCGCAAACCTGGTTTTTCTTAGGTTTTATCAAACAGGGAAGTAGAATCGTGAAATGCTGGGAACCAAACGGTGTTCGGGCTAGGGTCAGCCATGGCTGGGGGCCAGAGAGGCTCATAATATTTTAATAACTTGTGTGACAACTGTGGTTTTGGTGCATCTTGAAAGTGGAATTCTTTTAAATTATAAAGGATTTTTTTTCTTTTTTTTTATGATTCAAAGATGAAATTTTTATTAAAAGGTTTTATGACTTGTCCATTATAAATCCCATACCCTTCACTGACTGTTATAATTTTCATGTCAGAAAAATTTAAAAGATAATGCAGAAAAATATCAGCAGCAAAGATAAGTTCAGGAAATTACAAAATGGACAATTAGCAAATAGCTCAAGTATATATAAACGAGGATGCAAATAACATGAGAGCAAGTGAGTTGGCAGCATACAAAAGGACAACATCACAGACTGAGACAGGGTTTCTCTGTGTAGTTTTGGTGCCTTTCCTGGAGCTCACGCTGTAGCCCAGGCTGGCTTCGAACTCACAGAGATCCGCCTGGCTCTGCCTCCCGAGTGCTGGGATTAAAGGCGTGCGCCACCACTGCCCGGCTAAATTATAAAGGATTTTGTGTGCTTGAAATTCTAGAAAAGAAAGAAAAAAATTCCTAAATATAATGTGCTACTTCATATATAAAAACATATAAATCTTAACAATATCAAACTATAAGGTTCTTAGAGTTACAGTTAGTCTATATGTAACTAAATCTAATTTTATGGATAATTAAGTAAAAGCTGGAAGCCAAGAAGCTTGACCTTTGCTGACAATAAAGAAATTGGACTGAAGTTATAGCAAGAGGAATGGAGCTTGTTAGGCATGTGCTAGGGCGCTCTTGCTGCTCGTCCAATAGCGCCAGGGCAACAGAGCAGTGTGGCCCAACACTGAGGTGGGAAACCTACCACAGGACAGAAGTGAATGGAGACTTGGGGAGCTGATGAGGGTAACTGAAAGAGAGAGAGAGAGAGAGAGAGAGAGAGAGAGAGAGAGAGAGAGAGAGAGAGAGAGAGAGAGAGATCCTTTTCATTTAGAGACAAAGTCCTTTTTATCATTTGACAGGATGACATTATTTTATTCCAATTTTAAAGATTTTTCTCTGTAAATTACAGATGAGGATAGGACATGATATTTGTTCCCTAATTAAAGGTTAGTGTAGTAAACTACAAAACATAGTGACTTCTGTCATAGAACCTAACAAAAGTAAATTATAAATGAATTTACAGGAAAAAAAACCTTTACAAGCGATAAATGGGTATTATATACTACTGTCTACTAGAATCACTTAAATGTTTAAGGTGCTGATACCTGAGTTCTGCTGGAAGAAGTCTGAGAATCCCTTCCCCAGAGTTCTGAGGGGTTCTGAGAATCCTCTTTTCTCAGGAAAGGATTTAAGCTTCTGAGAATGTTGGCTGTCCCCTCTCTATTATATTGCCAAAAAAGTAGTCCAGCAGGTCCAAATGATGTTCCTAACTGGTCTCAACTAGTTGATAATCTCCTTTACTGCAGTAGCAGGTGCTATTTTATGCCCCTAACATTTCCAAATGCTTGGAATAAAAGTCTAGAACCGACAGGCGGTGGTGGCGCACGCCTTTAATCCCAGCACTCTGGAGGCAGAGCCAGGCGGATCTCTGTGAGTTCCAGGCCAGCATGGTCTCCAAAGCGAGTACCAGGAAAGGCGCAAAGCTACACAGAGAAACCCTGTCTCCAAAAACCAAAAAAAAAAAAAAAAAAAAAAGTCTAGAACCACAGCATGGAAGTAGCCATCTACCAGGTCAGACTTTATTATCTATGTGCCTGTCAGTCACCAATCTGTCATCCGCCCATCCATGCTTTCTCTATTATTCTATATCTGTTGGTGATTTTTCAGCTTACTTGTGACATATGTTTGGATTAGGATATTCACAATAGTGAAGTCAGACATTTTGTAGTTTTATGTCTTGCTTGACTTTCTGTTTTTTGTTTGTTTACTTATTTTTTTCTTTGTTTCCCCATGAGACAGAGTCTTACAGTATAGCTGGCCTGGAACTAGCTATGTAGACCAGTTGACCTCAGACTCTCAGAGATCGGCTTACCCCTGCCTCCTGAGTGCTGGGATTAAAGGTGTGCGCCACCATGCCTAGCTTTTGAGGTGCCTTTCTTAAGGTGGTAGTTTTAGGACGTCCAGAATGTAAGATAGAGAAGCTGGGCTGCAGAGATGGCTTAGTAAGAACACCAGCTGTGTGTGCCGTCTAGCTTTTTGTCAACTTGACAGAAGCTACTGTCCTAGGGGAAGAATGAACTTCAGCTGAGAAAATGTCCCCACCAGATTGGCCTGTGGCCAACTCGGTATAGAGTTTTCTTAATTAGTGATTGATGTGGGAGGGCCCAGTCCATTGTGGGTGGTGCTATCCCTGGGCTGGTGGTCCTGGGTGCGTAAGGTAGGCTGAGCAAGCCATGGAAGCAGGCCATTAAGCAGTACTACTCCATGGCCTCTGCATCAACTCCTCCTTAGATGGTGGGTCATGATGTGGAAGTATGAACGAAATAAACTTTCCTCCTCCATGACCATGCTTGTGGTCATGGTGTTTTATCACAGCAATCAAACTTCTGTAATTAAGATGCTGTGACAGCATGAGGATCTGAGTTCAAATCTCCAGTACCCATGAAAAAAGCCGAGTGTGACTGCACCTACTTGTAACCCCTTGCACTGTTGGGGGTGTTGGAGCAGAGAGGGGAGGATCGTTGGGGGTTTGCTGATCACCAGCCTAGCTTCAGGTCCTGTGACCGACACTGTCTGATGGGAATAAGGTAGAGAGTGATAGAGCAGGACACCTGATAACTGATGTTCTCTTCTGGCCTCAGCATGTATCCCCCACCCCAGCAGGTTCACATCTACCACCCACTACACAGACACACAGACACACACATTGAGTACATATATATTATACACACACACACATATCATATACATGTGGATGTGGATGTGTGAGCTTAACTTGTTAATGTTGGTTAATGTTGTGTTAGGGGACCTGGATTCCTAGAGCAGAGTTTGAAAACTACCACCTTATACTATTTTAGTCTTTTGCATACAGTAGGAGTGGTGTATATGCAGGAGTCCTATCAAGAGGGAGAGGAGGCTGGAGAGATAGCCAGGCAATGAAAAGAGCTCTTGCTGTTTTCACTGAGGACCCGGGTTCTGTTCCTAGCACTTATCTACATCAGGCAGCTCCCAAGTGCCTGTAACTCCGGTTCTAATAGACCTGACACCCTCTCCTGGCTTCTGTGGGCACGTGCACATACAGACAGACAAAGAAAATAAATAACCTTTTTTTTTTTTTTTTTTTAAAAAAGGAGGGAGTTTAACTAAAGAATCAGACATGAAAATCTGACCCAAATAGCAGCGACATATGTAACAAACCCTCAACTGACTGCAGTTTCTTAGCCTGTGCTGTGGTAGACAGTAGGAGATTCCAGAGGAGGGTAAGACAAACCTAAGGCCGGAATGGAGCTCTCTCTATACATACCGTCTGCAGAGATGAAGTTTCTGAGCCATCCTCATCTTGACCCCTAAGACCCTGGTTATGGAACTTTTGTACTAGTTTATGTGTTAGAATCTAGTTTGATCATTTTTGTGATTATGTGTCAAATGTGTGATCAGGGTTAGAATTTCTTAGGGTAGGGCAATGGAACAGATGAGAGGTGACTGGTTTACATGTGAATTCACATTTATACTCTTACAATGGTAATTGCATTATTTAGTTTGAAATGTCTGTGTCATGGAATAATGGCAGAAAGAGGTGGTTTGGGAGCAAGACTCAAGGATAATTTAAACAGATTTATGTGAGTGTAGATATATTTTCCTTTTCTTCTGACTTGTGTATGAATCAAGCCATGTGTCCATGTTGTTTCTCTTTGAATATTTAATGATAGGTCTTTGAGGATTATTTTATTAACTGGCAAATTAACTTAAGATGACACTTAGCTTTAATAAATTTTGTTAAAGGTTTGGGTAAATGGTTAATAATGTCTCTGTGTGTTGATGTTTTCTTTTGAAATTTGTCATGTATAATAGATAGTATTTCTGCAAGAATAATTGGCAGAATTTTGATTTTCATTGTCTCAGAATGTAGCACTTAAACATGGAGCTTTTCACTTTGGATTTTGTTAGATTTAGATCACCAATCAATTTTGTATTCCTAGATTTAAGTGAGTGGTACTGCAGGAAATCCATCTTGGCTCTTGTGGACGGACAACCATGGGGCATGTATAAGCCTTTGACCAAGTCCTGTGAGATTAAATTTCTTACCTTCAAAGACCCTGACCCAACTGAAGTGAATAAGGTATTTTCCTGCCTCCTCCAGTTTTCTTTTTCTTCTCCTTTTAAATCAAACTTATGTTCTATGAAGTATAAAATCTGAAAATATGGCCAAACTCATATGTGGTATCTACTAGATAGTATTTTACTGGGCAGCTTAGGTATTTTTGTAGCTCAACATACTAGTGGTATCAACTTGTCTCTATTTTGGATTGAGAAAACTATAGGGCATGTCATTTATGCTTATAACTTTTGATAACCCTCTATATAATTGGGAATTCCACTCCTACTGATATAACTTGAATTTGGTCTGAAATCAGACCATCTTCTGTGGATGATTTTAGTAACTTTTTGACTCTGTTCCACCCCCAACTCCCTTATTTTTACTACTTCAAACATTACCCTTTACGGTTCTATGAAGTTTTATTAGTGACTTTTTGGGGGTCATGTCATTTATCCGTGAAGAACTTGCCTGCATGGTAGAGTTAACATAGCTTTCTGGGGCTTGCATGATGTGCCTCCAGCCTGCTCTCTTAGTCTTACCTCCTCCTGGATCTTTCCCCCTCTTCCTTGCTCTGGCCACATGAAAGTACTTGGTGACTAATGATTTATACTTTATTATCCTGCCTGCTTTTGCCAGTGCTCTTCCTTCAATGCAGATCACTTTCTTTCCCCTTTAAAATTCTGTTTATGCTCTGTGGTTCAGTTAAAATGACATCTGCTCTGTGGAACCTACCAGGTCTCTGCTTGTCAAAATTCTTTAGGCTCTAGCAACACTTGGGTAGTGTCTCTATATACAGTATTTTCATCTTATTGCTGGATGCATTAGATTCCTGCTTCTGTGAATGCAGAGATGATTTCCTTTTTGGATCTAGTCCTTCACATCAGGAAGTGTTTGATAAACAGCTGTTGAAATGATGTACTTAAACAAGAAGATGATAGAAGCTTTAGTAGTAGTAACACTGAGTGTCTATTATGCGTGAGGTACTGGTTTAAGTAATTTATAGGTGTTCATTTTGTCTCATATAAACTCTAGAGAGTAGGTACATTTCTTCCTATTTGCCATGAACAAATGATAAAGAGAGCATCCACAACTTGACTAAGGCTACTAGTTACAAAGCGGTAAAGTCTGGATGTGAACCTAGGTATTTTGGCAAAAGCACAATAGATTTTGATTGTATTAATGGCATAATTGCTCTGGATGAATGGACAGGTATTGGAAAAATATGTGCTAAGCCAAGAGTTGATTTCAGTTTTAATAATGTAGAAACTTGAGTGAATCTTAGTGTGTTACATTTATGTGTATGTTTCTTTCTTTAGGCTTATTGGCGTTCCTGTGCCATGATGATGGGCTGTGTAGTAGAAAGGGCATTCAAAGATGATTATGTGGTCAGCTTGGTCAGAGCACCAGAAGTTCCTGGTAATATATACATCACTATTTATACTTTTAAGATCTGTGAATATTTTGGTATTTATTTTTGATTATGTACAGAGTTTATTTCTGATTTTATCTAGTGTAAAGACTGTGCACGTGCTTCATGTATTGTAGGTAATAAAATTACTCTGTTAGGATGAAATGTGAAGTAATATGATATCAGTAATTAACACAAAATTAGTGACTCTTGAATATAAATGTTAAAGAATTACACTGTCATAGTGTTCTTTTTTTTCTTTCTTTCTTTTTTTTTTTTTAAAGACTGTTTCTGAATTGAATTTGTGGGAGGGTGAGGAAATGGAAAGATGAGTAGGCTGCTGAGAAGAACTGTGCTTAAGGGTGGTTCCATTCTTCAGAAACATGGCCAGAGGGGTACCACATAGATGAGGTGTAAGGATAAGAATCTAACCATGTTAAAATCAGAATTTCTCATCATTGTGTATAGCAGCAATGTGTGATGAAACTAATATATATGTGTATGTGTGTTTGTGTATGTGTGTGTGTGTGTGTGTGTGTGTGTGTGCCAAAATACATGAAAGAAGCTCAGAGAATGATTTTTGTTCTAAGAACAAAAAATAAAAAAATGAAGATATTTAAGCTATTATGAAGAAACTGGGCATTTCCTGTGTGTTTAGTCATACATCTACTTAAGTGTTATCCCTTTGTAGTTTTGTATCCAGCATCCATTTGAGATCCCTATAGTATAATATTCCTGAAGAAAGTGTGAATGTTTAGAAAAAATGATGATTGACAAAAGATGAACTGGTGTTTTTGATAGGGGGAGTTTTATGATGCCCTAGCATGCACCTGGGGTATGAAAATAGTTTTACAATTTGTAGAGTTTGGGGCGATTGCCTTCTATGACCTAACTAATCAATTGCTGTAGATGAGAAACTTCTTGCCCTAACAGATTTTGCGTTCCTTTTTCTTTTTCCTTGCTGTTGGATTTACAGTAATTGCTGGGGCCTTCTGCTACGATGTCATTTTGGATAAGAGACTGGATGAATGGATGCCAACGAAAGTAAGTATACTCTTTGGAGTATTATTTTTTGAGTGTGTGTTACACTCTGATAAAATAGTACTGTTAATACTACTGAATGGTACTGAACATTGAAGACACTTAAGAGAACCTCTCTCTATGAGTATTTATTATCTATGTGCCTGTCAGTCACCAATCTGTCATCCACCCATCCATGCTTTCTCTATTATTCTATATCTGTTGGTGATTTTTCAGCTTACTTGTGACATATGTTTGGATTAGGATATTCACAATAGTGAAGTCAGACATTTTGTAGTTTTATGTCTTGCTTGACTTTCTGTTTTTTGTTTGTTTACTTATTTTTTTCTTTGTTTCCCCATGAGACAGAGTCTTACAGTATAGCTGGCCTGGAACTAGCTATGTAGACCAGTTGACCTCAGACTCTCAGAGATCGGCTTACCCCTGCCTCCTGAGTGCTGGGATTAAAGGTGTGCGCCACCATGCCTAGCTTTTGAGGTGCCTTTCTTAAGGTGGTAGTTTTAGGACGTCCAGAATGTAAGATAGAGAAGCTGGGCTGCAGAGATGGCTTAGTAAGAACACCAGCTGTGTGTGCCGTCTAGCTTTTTGTCAACTTGACAGAAGCTAGAGTCCTAGGGGAAGAATGAACTTCAGCTGAGAAAATGTCCCCACCAGATTGGCCTGTGGCCAACTCGGTATAGAGTTTTCTTAATTAGTGATTGATGTGGGAGGGCCCAGTCCATTGTGGGTGGTGCTATCCCTGGGCTGGTGGTCCTGGGTGCGTAAGGTAGGCTGAGCAAGCCATGGAAGCAGGCCATTAAGCAGTACTACTCCATGGCCTCTGCATCAACTCCTCCTTAGATGGTGGGTCATGATGTGGAAGTATGAACGAAATAAACTTTCCTCCTCCATGACCATGCTTGTGGTCATGGTGCTTTATCACAGCAATCAAACTTCTGTAATTAAGATGCTGTGACAGCATGAGGATCTGAGTTCAAATCTCCAGTACCCATGAAAAAAGCCGAGTGTGACTGCACCTACTTGTAACCCCTTGCACTGTTGGGGGTGTTGGAGCAGAGAGGGGAGGATCGTTGGGGGTTTGCTGATCACCAGCCTAGCTTCAGGTCCTGTGACCGACACTGTCTGATGGGAATAAGGTAGAGAGTGATAGAGCAGGACACCTGATAACTGATGTTCTCTTCTGGCCTCAGCATGTATCCCCCACCCCAGCAGGTTCACATCTACCACCCACTACACAGACACACAGACACACACATTGAGTACATATATATTATACACACACACACATATCATATACATGTGGATGTGGATGTGTGAGCTTAACTTGTTAATGTTGGTTAATGTTGTGTTAGGGGACCTGGATTCCTAGAGCAGAGTTTGAAAACTACCACCTTATACTATTTTAGTCTTTTGCATACAGTAGGAGTGGTGTATATGCAGGAGTCCTATCAAGAGGGAGAGGAGGCTGGAGAGATAGCCAGGCAATGAAAAGAGCTCTTGCTGTTTTCACTGAGGACCCGGGTTCTGTTCCTAGCACTTATCTACATCAGGCAGCTCCCAAGTGCCTGTAACTCCGGTTCTAATAGACCTGACACCCTCTCCTGGCTTCTGTGGGCACGTGCACATACAGACAGACAAAGAAAATAAATAACCTTTTTTTTTTTTTTTTTTAAAAAAGGAGGGAGTTTAACTAAAGAATCAGACATGAAAATCTGACCCAAATAGCAGCGACATATGTAACAAACCCTCAACTGACTGCAGTTTCTTAGCCTGTGCTGTGGTAGACAGTAGGAGATTCCAGAGGAGGGTAAGACAAACCTAAGGCCGGAATGGAGCTCTCTCTATACATACCGTCTGCAGAGATGAAGTTTCTGAGCCATCCTCATCTTGACCCCTAAGACCCTGGTTATGGAACTTTTGTACTAGTTTATGTGTTAGAATCTAGTTTGATCATTTTTGTGATTATGTGTCAAATGTGTGATCAGGGTTAGAATTTCTTAGGGTAGGGCAATGGAACAGATGAGAGGTGACTGGTTTACATGTGAATTCACATTTATACTCTTACAATGGTAATTGCATTATTTAGTTTGAAATGTCTGTGTCATGGAATAATGGCAGAAAGAGGTGGTTTGGGAGCAAGACTCAAGGATAATTTAAACAGATTTATGTGAGTGTAGATATATTTTCCTTTTCTTCTGACTTGTGTATGAATCAAGCCATGTGTCCATGTTGTTTCTCTTTGAATATTTAATGATAGGTCTTTGAGGATTATTTTATTAACTGGCAAATTAACTTAAGATGACACTTAGCTTTAATAAATTTTGTTAAAGGTTTGGGTAAATGGTTAATAATGTCTCTGTGTGTGATGTTTTCTTTTGAAATTTGTCATGTATAATAGATAGTATTTCTGCAAGAATAATTGGCAGAATTTTGATTTTCATTGTCTCAGAATGTAGCACTTAAACATGGAGCTTTTCACTTTGGATTTTGTTAGATTAGATCACCAATCAATTTTGTATTCCTAGATTTAAGTGAGTGGTACTGCAGGAAATCCATCTTGGCTCTTGTGGACGGACAACCATGGGGCATGTATAAGCCTTTGACCAAGTCCTGTGAGATTAAATTTCTTACCTTCAAAGACCCTGACCCAACTGAAGTGAATAAGGTATTTTCCTGCCTCCTCCAGTTTTCTTTTTCTTCTCCTTTTAAATCAAACTTATGTTCTATGAAGTATAAAATCTGAAATATGGCCAAACTCATATGTGGTATCTACTAGATAGTATTTTACTGGGCAGCTTAGGTATTTTTGTAGCTCAACATACTAGTGGTATCAACTTGTCTCTATTTTGGATTGAGAAAACTATAGGGCATGTCATTTATGCTTATAACTTTTGATAACCCTCTATATAATTGGGAGTTCCACTCCTACTGATATAACTTGAATTTGGTCTGAAATCAGACCATCTTCTGTGGATGATTTTAGTAACTTTTTGACTCTGTTCCACCCCCAACTCCCTTATTTTTACTACTTCAAACATTACCCTTTACGGTTCTATGAAGTTTTATTAGTGACTTTTTGGGGGTCATGTCATTTATCCGTGAAGAACTTGCCTGCATGGTAGAGTTAACATAGCTTTCTGGGGCTTGCATGATGTGCCTCCAGCCTGCTCTCTTAGTCTTACCTCCTCCTGGATCTTTCCCCCTCTTCCTTGCTCTGGCCACATGAAAGTACTTGGTGACTAATGATTTATACTTTATTATCCTGCCTGCTTTTGCCAGTGCTCTTCCTTCAATGCAGATCACTTTCTTTCCCCTTTAAAATTCTGTTTATGCTCTGTGGTTCAGTTAAAATGACATCTGCTCTGTGGAACCTACCAGGTCTCTGCTTGTCAAAATTCTTTAGGCTCTAGCAACACTTGGGTAGTGTCTCTATATACAGTATTTTCATCTTATTGCTGGATGCATTAGATTCCTGCTTCTGTGAATGCAGAGATGATTTCCTTTTTGGATCTAGTCCTTCACATCAGGAAGTGTTTTGATAAACAGCTGTTGAAATGATGTACTTAAACAAGAAG